GTACACGTGTTAAATAGCTATGTACACTGGTACTGGCTGACCACCCATCACACTAGTACACGTGTTAAATACGAAATAGGAAACTGTGACGGACGGACAGACAGAGTAATTACTATAGGGCACCGCCATTTTATTTTAATAAATATATATTTCAAGTGTAAGTACTCCTTGGTTACTCCAAATTTTAGCAACAAAATTAATTTATTCAAAATCAGCTGTTATTAAGGGTTAAAATTGTTTCAGAGGATAATATTTTTAGATATAGTTCAAATACAGGTAGCACCATATTTTTATAGAAATATAGCATATAAAAGATAAAGATTGTCATTCTGTTGACACAGTTTTCAACCACAGATACAGTCTATTCCTTTTTTTCAGAAAAGAACTTCTTGAACACATTTGCCGTTTTCCCTTTCAAACCATGTTCCTGCATAACAGATTTGATGCCATCTTCATTGTTTCTTGTATAGGCCAACTCCAAGTGATGAAGGCTGAGACCTGTGCAGGAAAGTTTCCTTGCAGTGTCCTTGGAAATAACTTTTCCAACAATGACGCCAGAAAAAGACTCTACAATTGCCAAATAATTAAAGGGAAATAAATCTTTGGCACAACATGTCTGTTTAAGTTTCAGATGGAAAAGTGTGTACAAACTTCTAACATCTTCCTCAGAATTATAGGCATCATAAACAATCTCCAGAAACTTTTGAACTAATGTTTGTTGCTTATAATTTTGAACATCAGCTTTTGGTATTTCCCGTTTTGCAATTTTCAAAGTGTCAATGCATCCATAAATTAATTTATTAAAAGAACTCAGGAGACTAAACTCTTTCAATAAATTCCTCAGTATAGGTACGTCATATGAATAGAAGTTATGACCGACAAGCACAGGTCGAGATTTTGTCTGTATCATTTATATTAGTTGAAGCAATGCTTGTCTTATACACACGCTTTCAACTGGAACACCACGGCAGTACATTTGGTTTCTCTCAAAAGAGAAACTAATGCCAGTAACATCGCTGGCCTTTGATGAAATAGGTTGTCGTGGAGACACATAAAGATTAAGCATGTTCTTCCCATCATATGCTGATATTTGTGTAATATCTGAGGTTCTTGATAATCCAGTTGTTTCTAAGTCAAACACAACATATTCATCTATGCCATCTAAAGAACATTTAGTTGGAATGCTTTCAATATCATTTACCGACACATCTTCTTCGATTTGTGGTTTATATGTTTCTCCTTCTATTACTGCTGCTGTAATTTGTTGAAAAGTTTTCTTATGCTAAAAAAAAAGACAAAAAAGAAAATATTCAGAAAAATCTTTCAATTATACCTAATATTGTTGTTACTAGTACATTGTAAAATAATGGGGAGATAACTCGTAATAACCATATCATTCCTTGAAATGTTATCATCTTGTTTTCTTTTCTTTTTTTGCAAATTGCCTGGAAATTTTATTTGCACCACCCAAACCAATATAAACAAAAGGCTGTTACTAATTATATGTCATAAATGTTTACCTTTCTTTTAAATCTGTCACGTTTGAAATGAACTGAGGTGCTATTCTCCTTTTGCCAGAGTCTTTTTCTGTCAATTCTCTGTCCAACTCTAGCAGAAATTGTGCCTGGTGACAGCAATGCTTTCTTGTTAACCTAAAACAAGGTAAAATAGTGAGAACTGTTTTAGATGACAAAAAACATAAGCCTCCCATTTATATTACTAAAAACTCTGTATTTGACCTTTGGGGCTTTGCTGAGAAGAAGCAGAAGAAGTGGAAGAAACAATCCAATTGAGCCCAATTTGAACTTGATCTCCATTGTAAGGTCATTAACCTTTGTATCAAGTTTGACAAAAATTACTGTATCTGTTTTCAAATTATTGTTTAGAAACCAAAAATGGAGGAAATGACAGGTTGAAAACATCATACTATGTTGCATGGGGTATAATGAAATAGGAAATACACAGTATTTATAATGTGTAAGCTGTAACACAATACCTTGGTAACCCAGGTATAACCTTCATTCTTTTGAAGAACTGCAGCTGAAACTCTCGCTTTTAATGAGCTGGTTCCACCATATGATCTACAAAGAGAAATTTCACAAATATCAGTCGTTTCACAGTTAACATTGTAAACCAGTTGTCACAGATTAAACTAGCTACAATTGTAAAAAAAACGGTTTCAGGGGGATTAACTCTTCATACATTTTTGCATTCTACACTTTTGTTTCATAAGATCTCATAATAGTTTTTCAAACTTTGAAATGATATCTTTAAAGGTTTCGGAGTTATCACACAAAACCTTTGCCACCTGTCGTCCCCTGCCCCCACCCCTCATATAACAAATTTAATTTTAAAAAGTGAAACTTCAGTCTATGTTTTATCTTTAGCACTGTTCGCTATTTAGTTTATACGGTGAGAACAAAATGAAGGATTGTTTTTTAAGGATATGCTAAAGATCATAACTCAAAAGTTTGAAAAAAAATTCTGCTAAGTCAGTTTTCAAAGAAAAAGAATTCTTAAATAGTCAATTTTCATATGACAGACAAACAGCAATCATCTCCCTTTGAAAATGAAAGACTTCTATTTCCTATTGCTTTGTTCATATTCATTTTTCCTTTGTGTTCAATGTCAGAAAGTTTTTTGGGGATGTTACTGGAAGGTTAGGACTACTGACCTATTTTTTGGAGCCTTGCTTGCAACTATATTGTTAAAGTTCTCATTGCTCTGTGTTGAGCCCAGATCTACAAGTTGGCTTGATCTTTTTTTGTAATTTTCTGTCACTGTCTCTAACTGCTTGCGCAGATTCTCATTTGTCAATGGTTCACCTTTAGGAAGATGCCTATATCTGAAATGATATTAAAGAAAATAGTTGACATGACATACATTTATGAATTTTGATTTATGGCAATGTTTCGAATTTTGTTTTTGTTTGTTTTATAGGATCAGAGGATGTCCTTGTATTATTTTCTAATGGGTTTTTTTTTGCATTTATATGACAAAATTGATTGAATTCAAAATAGCAATAAGAACAACAGCTGCCAAACTTAATTTTTGTTCTGGCATATATTGCTCATGATAAAAACATTGAAAGAAAGACATTCTAATACATGTATGATGTCCTTCTAATTTTTAAAGAATTTCAAACCTGTATGTTGATGGTTGCTTGGAATATCTGCACCAATCTCCAGAACAGCCTGAATGGTCTCCAAAGAGGTGTGGAACAATGCTGTCTAGTCTTTCACAAAGCTCATCCTCATTTGACTGTTTTGAACTAATTGCATACATGAAGCATCTAAGGATGTAAGGAATTACTCCTTTGCCCTTCAGCTCTTTAAACTTATTTGCCGCTGCATACAACTGTCTTGACAGAGTTTTCTTTACATGATTCTTATCATCTCTTTTTTTGATGTTTTCAAATTTTTGCCTCAGCCGTGATGTTGTTGTTGAGTCATTGTCTGCATGAATTATGCCAACTGTGCACCCTCTGTCATCCATCCTTGTAACCATGGATAAAGCCATGTCAGGCTCCATGCCTTTACTTGACCCTGTAACAAAATAAGACATTATAATAACTACAATTACTTAGTGAGAACTGTTTAAGATGACTGAAACATATGTTGTCTCCCTTTTTATAACTTACAAAACCAAATTATTTAACCTTGGGGTCAAAGGTCAAGGTCACACAAAGGTCATGGTGGTACACAACACACAGCCTTATGACTATGCACTCACAAACCAAATATCATTGAACTTTCTAGAAGGACCAAAAAGTTGGGGTTTTGTAACTGTAATGAGCAAAATTAAGGGCATTGCAAAGATTGTTACTAGAAATTATTTCTTAGGTTCTAGCAACGGTTACACAGTGTGTAATTCTGTAACAATTTTAAATTATTATTATTTCCCGGATGACTAATTTCCATAACAGATCCTGGATAGGGAGACCTTTCCACAGAAAGCTGGGTTAACCTTAAATCATTGGATTTGGCTCGAAAAAAATGTTGACTAAGGTTTGTGTACCTTGCCAATTGCTGTTGCATTGATGATTTGGAATTGTGTCCTTTCTTCCCAAATGATGCTGGCATATACTGCAAAATTTAGTTCTTACATCAAAGTCTAGAACTTTACCTGTCTTTACACCAACTAGACTGGAATGTCCTGTAAAATACAAAGTCAATGTACTTTTTAGTCACATAAGAAAATGTCAAAATCAGTTTCTGATAATTATATTCTAAATAGACAATATATGTACAATGTCCTAAAATATAAGGTTTATTTTGTATGAGCCTTAGAAACAGATAGAAATGTGAGGTTTGCCGAGCATTTCTTGCCGTTACGCTGCAAGTACAAACAAACCTAAAAATTCCAATGTCAGGTATCAATTCGAATATCATAATCTACCTTAATATCAAATTTCATTGAAATAGGACAATGTTGAGGTTTTTCATATTTATTGATCTACCATTTAAAGTAGCTGAGAAATGGACTTTAACACAAAAACTGAACCAAGTTGCTCAGGCAGAAAATGTAGGTCAGAGTGACCTAATTCTTAGTGAACCTTAATGTACAGTTCTACCTATGATATATCTATTGACCAAGTATCATTGGTCTACCATGTATAGTAGGTAGGATATGGACCTAAACACAAAAACTTAACCTAGATCGGGACAGATGGACAGACATACAGAGGGACAAGGTTCATCCTATATGTCCCAATGATTTTCATGGTCGGAACCTAGAAAGTTATTTTGGACGAGTTTATAGATACGCACAAATTTTACATAAAATCCTTCTGACTTGATTCAGTTTATAAGCAATTCGTTCGCGTTTACACATCAATTAACTCCTCCAAAATAATTTTCATTTCTATAATATTGCTGATGTTGACATGATACCTGTGTTACTGTTATATTGCCAACCGGATCCTCTTGTTTGCCAACCAGCGTCAAAACTACATTCCAATTCTTCACTTGCGGTAACAGCTTCTTCTTTTGCACTAGCAGTTTTACAGGAATCTGATGCTTCATCCATAACTGAAGATGCTATATCTTTCTCCTTCTTTTTCAGTGTCTTAGGATCAGGTGGGGGTATGTTACATGTGCTGAGAAAGTTCACAACATGATCAGGACACATTCCAGAGTGCACCATTGCATAATTTGCATGTTTATTCATTTTTACCACCTACGTACTGTATATATATATATCTTTATCAACTAAATCTTTGATTGACTGTAGAATACAGGTAAAATTACAATTCAATAATAGACTGGGTGACAATTGATAGGTCCATAACCTAGTGAGTGATATGTACATGAAATGAAATTCAATGTCAAAATTCATATGAGGCTTTTTTAATATTCAAGCAGAAATACATAAAAATATCATTTCCTTACTTAAAAGCCATATTAGCCCATCATTAATAAATTGTTGGTTTGCTGTTTACTGACTAACATTTTTACATGTGGGTAGGTAGGTAGGATTTTATTTTTATTTTTCTGAAAGATGCCAAAAATCCTCTTAATTAGAAAGAAAATATGCTAAAAAAAGAATTAAAAAAAATTGTCCTCGAAAAGATGATTTTTTGAGTAGGCAAGTTTTTAATGAGTAGCTATAGGTCGATAAACAGCAAACTAACATTTTTTTATGGATGCCCTAACTCTAGAAGAAAAACAGTCACTTTAAGCAAGGATTTGTAATAGCTAAGCTAGTTAACTTTAGAAATCCTTGCTGTAAGCAAGACTGTAAAAAATAAATTGAGACTACTTATATAGTCCACAAATTTGAACACCCGACTAACATGCCCATGTCAGGGTTTGAAAGAAACTACTTTAAACAAGAGGCCCATGGGCCTTAACGGTCACCTGATATATTTATACAGAGAGTTGATTTCGTTTTTAACATGAACAGAAATATTATTGAAAGTGACAAAAAACAATAAAACCACCTTATTCAATATCAAGCATACAGATTTCAGACTAAAAAGGATTTGAAACTAGCACCTCTGATTCTAAACAAGGAAAATGAAGAAATTTTAGCACACTGACTCCCTTGAGCCCCACCCTACAGCCCTTGGGGGTAGGGCTGGCTCAAAATTTTCAAAGTATCAAACTGTCAACTCAAGGTTATAATTCCAATCAAGTTATTAACATGTAATATTCAAGTATCATTTGACATTATAAACCATAATAAATT